TACCCATTTACCAGAAATAGCCCACAACCCAACACCCCAACCCAATTCACTAATTCAGAAATGTGGCATTGGGCCTTGGCCATTTCGGCCCTTACCCTTAGTCGACCCTTACCCTGCCTGGCTGCCTATTCCCTTTCGGCTTTCACTTAACTGCGAGACAGTCACACAGCGAGAGTATGAGACAGCGTCCTCCACCCAGCGCAGCCGCAACGCCAGCCTCAGCGACAAGCCAACAGCGAGACCTAGCTCGCTAGCTCCACCTCCGCGTCTCCGCCGCTCCGCGCGCTTCCTCCTTCATTCACCGGCGCGGGCCGGGGCGGCTTCCTTCTTCTCACTCTGTTGCGCCGCCTCCAATAGCATACCAGCAGCAGCCAACTTTCCCAGCCAGGAGCAGGGGGAATATCAGCAGCATCACCATTCACCCGACGTTGTTATCTATTTAGGTATGCAGCTGCCATTCTCTTTTCTTTTCTACTTACAGTACATATTCTGGACTCTAATTACTAGTTAGGTTTGTTCTGCTAATTACTAATTATGTTTCTAATTTCCAGCATCTGTCTATTTGGTTTATGTTGATTTGGTTTATAGTTTCCATGGCTAATCAAGGGAATGAAGCCAGTCAAGGGAATGAAACTTTGGGTATTTATGGGTATTATGGGTACCCGTTATCCGTCCCGTACGAGTAATGGGTACCCGTTATCCATATGGGTTTGGGACATGGGAAGGACTCTGGCCTCCAAATGGGACTGGGTACCCGTTTAAAACGCGACGGGTATCCCGTCCCATCCCGTTGCCCACCCCTATTCTTCAACCTTGAGCTTGGATTTCCTTGGGGAAATCTTCCCAAGACCTCCTTTGAAGCCAAGCCCTAACTCCTTCTTCTCTTTTGGTTCTATTTCTCTCACTAGAATGCAGAAGAAGTGTTTCTCTCACAAAAAGTGGCTCTCTCTTCTCTTTCCTTGCAGCTCAGCTTTTAAACATGAGAAGTGCTGAGTTCACGGCCGTGAACTCTCAAACGCGTCCATGAACTCACGCCTTGCGCCAAAATGCTCCGCATTGATCACGGCAGTTCACATGCAACTACTTGTGTTCACAGTCTTAGTGACATTGAACTCGCCTTGTTTCAGTAACCTTCAAGTTGGCTCTGAACGCCTTGCGCTTCACGGTTAACTCCGCTTCTTCACGGTCTTTCACGACCGTGAACTCCTGCCTTTAGCAGTGAACTTGCATTTTTTTCCACCTCTTCTCCCGATTTTTTTTATCCTTTTCGCCAATCCTTCAACTCCGAGGCTGGTTCCACCTGTTAAATCCTGAAAAGCACTCAAACACAAAGAACCTCGCGTAAAACCAACCTCTAATGAGCGAATTTGGCACAAACATCTAAGCAAACCGGGGGCAAAATATGTGGAATTAGGCCTGAATCATTACAATGATACCACCATAAAACATTCAACAGTGCTACACAAAACTACTAATTAAGACTAATACGACCTTCGACTACCAATACCAGTAACACCAACTACGACTACCACTACTCGTACCACTTCAGTTGTACCGCTACCACTTCGACTACCAATACCAGTAACACCAACTTCAACTTCGATTACCAGTACCACTTCAGTGGTACTACTTCCAATTCGACTACTAATATCAGTACCACCAATTTCAACTTCAACTACCAGTACCACTTTAGTGGTACCACTACCAATAACACCACCTTCGAATAAAAAAACATTGTATAAAGAAACCTCACTTGCGATGGTTTGCACGGCCACAGTAAGGATGACGGCGGACAAAAAAATTGAATAGTTGGGAATTCAATTAAAGCAAGACAACCCCAAGGACTCGAATCTTCAAACTTAACAGAGAAACGACCAAGTCTTCAAACTTAACAGAGAAACGAGCGAGATAATGCAGGCGACAACGTTGATCCGCGATGGCGGAAGTTATTTTTTCCAGAGCAGATGGAGGAGAAAGGGTTTTGGGGCGGGCACACGGTTGCTTTGCGAGGAAAGTGGCTGATTTGTCTCCCCCAGTCAATTCTCTCCCCTTACTAAAACCGAATAACATTATAGGTGGAGTGGGCGAGCGGATCCAGTGCAACACCTCTCTTTTTTACCCCTGCTTATTATAGACCGCCAGATCGTGAGGAAGGGAGACGGACGGCTGGGAAGGGAGAAGCGAGTCTAACAACCCCTGACGCTATCCAAGCCCAATTATTAATAATATATATTAGCTTAAAGTTGTGAAATTCACCATCTAGTTAAAATAGTCCATAATTTTAGGTTAAAATTTTGAAATTAAAATCCAATGAGTTGATGTTAACCTATGGATATAAACGCGCTGCTACGGATCGGGAAATCGCCGGAATCGATAAAGTAAGAATACGAAAGCGAGAATCGAAAAACACAGACACACGATTTACGTGGTTCACTAACACGATGTGTGTTAGCTACTCCACGGGCGAGAGAGAGCCAGTTTCACTATATCAAGGAGATTACAGATTACAGATTACAGAGGAGTATGAGAAGTATTTATAGTACTTTTCTATGTGGGTCTAAACCCTATGTGGGTCTTAACCTAATCCCATATGGCAAATGAAACGGTTACAGACCAGGCCCAGAACCCGAACCCAAATAACATTGAGCCCATACACCCCTGGACCCCCACTCGCTGACCGTGCAGCGAGACCCCTGACTTATTTAGTCGTAGCGGCTGTGTTTTTGTTGATGGTTCTCGTGGACAATATTTCCCTAATTTTGAAAACTATGGCGTGAATAGGCTGATAGTCCGATCCAAGTCACATCAACACATAGCGCAGAAAATGACATCATCCGTTCGTACTCCTATTGGTTGTGTGCCTTGACATCGAACTACTATTGCATATTAAAGTATGCGCATGACGTATGATCCCACTTGCCACACGTACCGAAAAATTGGCCGTATTATGCATGGCCGCACCTACAATATGAATTCGGTCATCCTGTAACGGACTTAGCATAAGTATGAATTTCACCTTGATCGCCGGGTTTACAGTTAGCAATTATAGCCAATTTCGTACACCTAATTATATCGATTGAACTATATATCAGCTTGATTGATGTATAACAATTATTGATCATAACCTTATTATTAAGAGTAAAAAAATCAGCTAAGCAAGTTGTTAACAAGGACAGGAAGACCAGAATCTTGTTGGGGTAGCTTGCCTAATGCAAGTGCCCTCTACAAAGCTATCTCTCTCCTAAATTCCTCTTTGTAATGTAATTAATTTTTAAATGTTAATGAATAATGATGGATCGGGTGGGCCAACGCTCCTCTCCTGCCCCAACTAATCCATTTTTTTAACAATTAGCTCTCATGTAACCAAAATATTCTCGACAATTAAAGAAAATCTTAAATAATTTTATTATTATTATTATCGATCAATCATAAACAAATCTAATTTAGAACAATTAAATTATTCATTTTCCATTATTGGAGAAGTAAACACGGTTTTGTGCACTAAAACAAGGAAATTAAACAAATTCACTTGCATTTTTTTTTAATTATAGCCGAACGGAAAACGCCCAAGGCATCGTGACAGGACCAAAGCCAAAAGAGATTGTGTTGTGATTTGTGAATCGATCAACTCAGGGCCATCCATTTTTTTAAAAATAAATCATATGAGTAAAAGATATTATGATTAGATTCGGGATTGTGATTACTTTGGCATTTAGAAACGTAATTATTAATATATAATAATATGGATTAGAATCAATTCGTGTCGCACGAGAGGGATAAAATAAAATTAAAGCATGGACGAAACAAAGAACAATGGAGGAGGGAAGCATGTATAGTTGGGAAAGAAGCCCAGTTTATGAAGAAACCAACGATTATGAACCATTGGTTCCTTACTAGTTACTGCCCATTTTAGATTTCATAAGAGTTAAAAACGCCATTTCGTTATGAGTTATTTCGATTTAAATATAGAATCATAAAATGTAATGTGATTGTAGAGAGATTTTTTTTTGTCGCATGTGTGATATTAAATTAACTCATTGATCATACAAATAAATGTAAATGAACAATGTTTCAATGAAAATTTATAAGGTAAAACTTGTTTTGTTTATTCTTTTATGTTGGCATCCATTACCTCCCTCGCAATTTCTTATCTATAGTTAATTCGTTGCAAATCTTGAAAATAGAACAATTAGCAATGCATTCGGTCTCCCGTACTCGACCGCTAAGGTTCTAAAAATTCCTTGAACTTTGGGATTTTTGCCTCCAAGATTTATGGATCCGACGTTGGACACATTTTTGTGTTATTAGGGGAGTCGGTCATGGGCAACATGCAATGTCTTGTAAAGCTTAAAATCTTCCTTAAGAGGATGAATTTTCCTTTTCGAAAGTGTCTTGTCAAGAATGTCTTTCTATTTCTTGCCCATTTTGTTAGCCTCGACTGGTTATCATTAGCGAGATAGAAAAAATTCAAGATCAATTCTTATAGGATAGAAGATGAAATGTTAAAAAATACACATCTTATTGTTTGGAAAATAGTTAACTCATACTATGCACAATAGGTTGGGGGTGTTAGGTGTTTGTTACACGAATCCAACTACTTATTAAATGAGTTTTAAGGTGTAGACGAACGAGGCAATATTTGGTGGTGCAAACTAAGTGCGGAATGAATTTTCATGACAGAGATTGGATTATATTGTTGGAGAATCGTAGATGTTTGTTTTGAAGGTGAATTATTAAAAACAATCATTTATGAAGGGTGAGTTATTTCCTAGATAAATCTTTGAGGACCACTTGGTGAGTGGATGCTTAATCATTGTGGTAGCTTGGTGAGAACTTCTACTCTGATGATTTTTTTTTCTTCTTACCATAATTAGGGAAAGGTGTGGCAGCTACTTTTCACCTCTTCTTCATTATTGGAGTGTTGGTCCTCCATTTGTATGAATAATTTTTTTAAAAAAATTTACATTTATATATAAAAAACATTTAGATATACACGTATAATAGAAATGAGGGGAAAAAATAAAGGAAGTATATATGAGAACGGAATCCCAACAAATTAACAAGCGGAAGGCAAGAACGCCAGCAAAGACCAAACCTTGGAGCTTCCTTCCTTCCAACTATGCCACGCTTCATTGAACAAAACGTTTTACTTCTTCTACCTCCTCCTCTGTTCCACATAATAAATTATTAATTAAAATCCCCACTTTCTCCATTTTCGATTCTCTCTATAACCAAACCCAAAAAACCGATCGAAAGGAACCAAAGGATCCTTGTCACAGCCGCCCCCTTTTCTCCTTAAGAGGATGTGACAGAGAGGGTGACTGAGAGTTTTAGAGAGAGAACCACTTTCCCCATTATTGTATTGTTTTCCATCTCAATTAAACTCTATCCGGTTGTTCTTTCTGGTGGATTAGGTTCCATTAAAGAGCTACCAAACTCTGTTTTCCCCTCCCCCTCTCTTGCTCTCCTTCCTCCTCCTCCTCAAAAGCTTCTCATAAACCTCGGGAAGCAAGAAGGAAAATCCAAAACTCAAAAGGGTTCATAGATAGTTTGATGATGGAGATGATGTATTTGCAGTTGGGAAGGTCTTCTTACCAGGATTCCCTCAAAGTCCTAGAGGCTGATATCCAGCATGCTAATTCCTTGTGAGTTCTTCATCTGTTTCTTTGTTTCCGTTTACTTTGTTGAGTTAATTTCTTATTTTAGTTTGTGGGTTCTTTCAGTTCTTCCACTTCCCTTTCTGGGTTTTGTTCATTTCTTCCTTCTCTGAAATGGGTATGTCCGTATGTGGAAGTTTCAGTGGGTTGTGTGTTCCCGTGATCAAAGTTGGATTCTTTATTTTTTTTTTTGTGCTAAATTTGAGGCCGCTGATGGCCTTAAACCACGGTTACTTTCGACAGTTCATCGCACGATTGTCCTCCTAACCAAGCGTGTTCAAAAGCTGGGATTTTGTTGGATTTTTTTTCTCTATTTGTTTTTGGGTTTAGTTTACTCATTTTTTGAAGTCTCCTCCCTAGTCACTTGCAGCTAAAATTGGCTGCTTTGGACAAATTTAGGATCCTTAATTTTGATCACCCATTGCAAAATTTTCAGCCGAGATTAATGGGTCTCCCTCCTATCTTGGCGTGGATCATCAAAATCTCATATTTTAATCACTGGATTGTTTGCAGCAGTAGTTGTCTCTGGTTGACCTAATTCTTATGTATGTACCTTATTTCTCGCAGGGCTGCTGAAATCCCTAGGGGGAAAGGTGGTTCCCATCTTCAGATGAAACTAGTCTACAACCAGTGGGCTCCCCTTTTCTTGTACTTGCTTCAGACATTAGAAAGCTCTTGCATTTATCTACTCCCTAGATACCTTAATCTCTTCCATGTCCTTGTATATAAGGTAAATGATCCCTTCATGTTGTTTCATTGGAATACCTCTCGATCGCTCGGAATCCGTTGTTGCAGCAACCCGAGAGAGCATTCCACCTTTGCTTACTGTGAAAATTGTGATTGATTAGGTGAATGATGACGGTAGACCGCGAATAACGACTCATGGAAGGAAAGCAACCATAAAGGAGTTCTATGGTAATATGCACCTTTCTTTTGTGTTGAAGTGTATGAAGGGAGACTGTGTTTGTTTGGAGTTTTTGACATTGTTTCAATTTTCAGGTGTTATCTTGCCTTCCCTTCAGAGGCTGCACAGCAGCTTGGATGAAATGGAACTGGAAGGCTTTTCGACCATTGATAGTTTGAGAATAAAAAATGTGGATGCAGATCATCACGATAAGCTTATCAGCATCGATTTGGAAAGGGAAGATGAATGTGGCATCTGCTTGGAGCCTTGCACCAAGATGGTGTTGCCTAATTGTTGCCACGCAATGTGCATCAAATGCTACCAGAATTGGTAAAAATCGCAAAGTCTGTTTGAGTCGTCTCTACTGTTGCATTCAGCTTCTCCTGTTTGACACGATTTGTGCAATTTTACATTAACAGGAACACAAGGTCAGAGTCATGTCCATTCTGCCGAGGCAGCTTGAAGAGAGTGAACTCGGAAGACCTATGGGTGCTCACTTGCAAGAACGACGTGGTCGATACAAAACAGATTACAAGGGAAGACCTCTTAAGGTTCCACCTCTACATCAACAGCCTGCCGAAGGATTATCCAGACGCTCTCTTCTTAGTGTACTACGAGTATCTATTCTGAATTCGGGAATTGGAACCAGCGAGAGTGATCCAGTGGTGTGTAGAGAGGGATAGCCAATGCCGACCAAGATCAAGTGTAAATAGTGTGGTAAGTGCAGCTAGCCATGTCTCTCTCCCAACATTCTTCGGGAGCAGGCCATCATCATTTGGAAAAACAGCTCTATTGCGTCGTTTCATGAGTTTCGTATCAAGATCCTGCATTTGGGGAAGGCGAACTATGCTCCGAAGATCGGAGCATGATTTGCTGGTTCCTGCAAGAACCAAATGCGGTACAAAGAATACCATAATCTTCTGTATTATGTAAGGTGTTGAGGATGAGAACTGCCCAGAACTGCGTTGTGGCTTTTGTTTCTCACTTGTAATCGCGAAAAAATTTAATTCCTGATTCCCTGATCATTGGCCTTCATTTGGCATCTTACAATAAGGAAAAAGTACGAGTCTTTGGAGTTGGGATTTTGTTCTGACTACTAGTGTTTTTCCCTGTGGTGGCTGCGGATTTGTAATGGTCCAATGTCCATAATCTCCATATGTTTGGTACATAAGCTGAGTTGTGATGTTGATGAAATCCATTGCAGTAATGATGCCAAATTGGGTAGGAATGACTCCATTGCATTACTAACTGATGAGAGAAATTTTAGGATGTGCTGTAAGCCAGTAATGCAGTGGAAGAAGTATCAATCAATCGTTTGGTATCCTTATCTGTGAAACAACTAGTCCATTCTATAGGGTGAGCAAGGGAATCGATTCCGATTTACCAATGTTAATAGTGTTCTTTGCACCTTAAGTTTGTCATTTCTTCCCTTAAATCGGTTTACGATTAGATGGTTGCTCTCGAGAAGAAGACTCGCGATCAGACGACCTCAACACCAGCTGAGCTCGGGAAGGCCATCCAGGAGGCTGCCATGGAAGGGGACGAACTGACAAAGAATGACGAAGAACACAAGCTACAAGGGGAGAGCCTCTGAATGAATTCGACTCAATAAACAAGAAGAATTGTCATTTCCTGAAACATGATCCTCTCTAAAACTGAGTTTTTCAGTTTGTGATTCAGAAGAAGTACATACAAGTTCCTGCTCACTTCCAACCGGACTACCAATGCGGGATAATCGAATACACAACTGCATACGCCACAAGGATTCCAGTCATTGTTTCTACTTCTGCGATCTTGCTTGTCAACAGTATAATTTATAGCTAAAAAGTAAAACTGCACCCCCATTCAAAATTTTCTGCCCATAGAGTAATTTTAGGAAGCTGATGTGGCAGAGTGTTAAGCGGGAAAAAAAAGGAGTCCCGCCTGATTTCAGAACCAAAAAACTGTCCACTACCCACCTTTTCTCCTTACAGGCCCACGTTCTCATTTAATTTGTATTTATTTTTTATTTCCCAGGAAGGAAATGGTCCACTGAAGAAGCGTGCAAAACAACAAAATCCAGAGGCAAAGCTCCTTCCTCTTCCCCTTCGCATCAGTTCCTTTGTTTTTTTCTACTGTTATTAAGAGAGAATCGGAGGTGAGAAGAAGAAGTTGATGTCTGTCTGTCCTATTCCCTTATCGATTGCGCCCGACCATCGCGTTTGATGGTCCTTATCTGTTAAATTGCTCGAGTTCGAGGTCTAAGTCGGTTCCTCGAAACTGGTGATTGGAGATGACGTAAGAGAGCCCATCTTCGCCGAGCTTGAGTTGAGCAGGCGGGTCGACGGGTTGAGGATGTGCGGAAACCTGGGGGTTGTCTTCAGATCTTCGAGTTTGGAGTATTTGGATCTCCGATCAAGTATCACCGGGCGGAGACGGCGTCCCCACAGGCCTGAAATTGCTCCTGGTATTTCGGGGCGGCGACATTCGGGTCGATTCAGCGGTATTGAAGCATCAGGCGCGGCGGATTTCATCCTCGACTCCCCGCAGCGAGCGCCGCTGCTTCGAGTATTCACTCACTGGGATAAGCGGAGCTCTGTGGGAAGGCGGTGATTGGAGATCCCAAAGACAAGATATGTGAAGTTGTGGAGAGTCTTAATGCGGATTTGCTGGTGATGGGCTCCCGAGACTTTGGTGCTATCAAAAGGTGTTGTACTTGAAAACTAAGCCGTTCATTATTGGTTGATGGTGTTTGGTGATTGGGGATGCCATATACTGGTGTCCTTTTGAGCTCTAGATGTTGATGGGTTTCCTTGGGATAGATTCTGTTCTGTGGACTGTGAAATTTTTGGGTAAAGAGAAGATTCAAGATAAGCTTGGCCGGTTTGATGAGCTCGCCAATGCTTCTCTTTGTCTCTTCTTACTGTTAGCATTCTTTGGTCATCAGGAGATACTATGCTAAGTGAGTCTATGATAGCATTGCTCTTCAAGACCTTCATAGTGCTCATTTAATTTGTAGTGGAAAATGATTTCCATTTTAGATGTTCAGAAAATTTTTGCCTAAAGTCAAAGCTGTGTAATTTAATCTGTTCTTTGTTGTCTGCATTGGAATAGATGGCATTGTCTAAGAGAATGTTGGAAACATATGAGTTGTTTAGTTGGTTCGAATGATTGATGGACCTAGGGGTAGGTCATAGGAGTCAATGTTTCTTGGTCCTAATACTTTGTTGTTGTCCTTCCTACCTTTTGTAACTTGGTTTCATACTGCTTTCATATTCAACCTACTCAAGTCTGGCTTTTATGTTTTTGTTAGTTTGTCTACAATTAATGATCTTAGCTTTCATGATGTTCTCTTAAACTTTGGTAAAGCATTATGTTACCAAAATGGCCATCATCTCAGCTTAGAAGAGATACAACTAGGGGAGGGCACAATGGTCATCAATCATCATCGTAACTTTCAAGTTCGTAAGTCATAATATATTTGTAAACGATTTCGGGAAGAGATGGTGTTTGGTTGGTTGGGGTTCAAGTATGTTTTCTTTATGTTGGAGCTTCATTTAGATTCTTAGAATTAAGCTATGACAAATTCTTTACAAACCAATACAACATGATCCAAATAGAAAGTGTGGAACAAATTTTTGATTAGGTCATCGTCAAGATTGAACTTAGGAACTATTAATCAGGTTAGTAATATTTATGTGATGCTGTAATTTTGGTTGATGTAGGTGGCCAAATAGCTTTATGATTATCATTTATCACTACTAGCTGTGTTTTGTTTTTAAACAGAGAGGTTACTAAGCTGTGGTATTTTAATGTTTCTCATTCTCAATCAACATAAATATTTAATTCTGCATGGGTAGTTAGTTTTAGTTTTTTTTTTGACAGTGGTAAGTGTTTGTTGCTTTTATTCCTCAACCCAATTGTTCAGATACATTATAGAAGAAAGGATCCAAAATATTCAGAACATTAATCCAATCTTCTGGCAATGAACCCTGCTTGAAAGATCTTGCCACCCAGTCAGCCCGAAAGTTGTTCTTCCTAGAGAAGAAATCAACCTTAATTCTTGGCTCGCCCTCAAGGATGGCTTTCAAAACGCTGAGTCTTGCCGCACAGGTCCACGGCCATGATTCAGGTGGCCTTGTCAATGCGTTCACAAGGGCGATACAATCTGATTTAACGTGAACCGTTGCGTTCAATCTCTTGGCAGCCAAGATAGCTTCCTGAATAGCCATAGCCTCCACTTCAATTGGTGAAACAGGTCCAGCCGCTCCATCGCAAACCTGTCCATGGTCATTGAAAATCACATAACCATATGCCGCCTCCTGGGATTCATTCGAGAATGAACCATCGCAGTGAATCTCAAAACTGGGATTGCTTGGCGGTGGAGCAGGTGTGTTCTGGGGGGGGGGGGGGGGTAGCGCTGGTCCGCATGGAGTCTCTGCTGCCTTGGAGCTTTCGGACACTCGGTCCACTGTTTCAGATCACGAGCAGCATTGGAGTACGATCGAGGTGGCCATGGAGTGACATTGTCGAACACCTTCTCGTTTCTTGCCAACCATATAGTCCATAAGAGGTATATGATGAAGTGAGTTGCTTGTTCTGGGATTCCTTTGTGTACCTGAAACAGCCAATCCAGAGGATTTGTTGGGGGGGGTGGTGTGGTAATGTCGGGGAAACATGCTTTCCACGTCTCTTGGGCATGGCCACATTCAAAAAGGGAGTGGTGGATGGTTTCCGGGCAGCCCGTGCAAACTGGGCAATCCGGGTTTGGGGAGCACTTTCGGGTTTTCAGCTTTGATTTTGTGGCCAGAGCTCCCTTCGCACATCTCCACAGAAAGAACTTCATTTTTGGGGGAAGTGCCAAGCCCCACATCCACCTCCATTTTTCCTTCTCGCTGGTAAGGGAGGGAATATCCTGTTCCGCTGTCCTCTGGTTTCTGTTGTGAACTGATCTGTAGGCCGAACCCACCGAGAAGCATCCATCAATCGTTGGTTTCCAGGCCTAAAAGTCGGCTGCCTCCTGATGGCCGATTGGAATTCTTCGGATTGCTTCCCTCTCTTGAGATGATGTGAACCGATTTAATCTCTCATCATCCCAGACTCGGTTCTGATGGTCGATCCATTCCGCCGCCAGAACAGATGGCGGGTTATGTCTCTGTAGTCTTTGTCCCTGTAAATTTCGCACCCATGGATCTTGGAACACCCTCGTGCTGAATCCGTTGCCAATCACTCTTATGACATCCATCTCAAGCTGCCCTTTAGCAATCCACAGGCTGTTCCAAATCCATGATGAGCTCGCCCCTCTCGTAGCAGAGAGGAAGTCGTTCCGTGGGATATATAATGCCTTAAGTAGCTTAGCCCATAAACTCTGTGGGTTCACAAGCAGCCGCCAGCATTGTTTCATCAGTAATGCAATGTTGAAATTCCTAAAAGAGCGGAAACCCAGGCCTCCCTCTTCCTTACTCTTGAGAAGAATTTCCCCTTTGCACCAGTGAATGGCCTTTCGCTGTATGGACCCTGACCAGAAGAATCTTCTAACCAAAGCGTCCATCCTGTTCGTAATTGAGTTTGGGAGAAGGAACAAGAACATGATATAGGTCGGAATTGCCTGTAACACTGCTTTGATAAGCGTCTCTTTTCCTCCCGGTGAGAGTAGTAGACTTTGCCAGTTTTCTCCTCTGTTTTCCATTCTCTGGATGAGAAACGAAAACGTTTCTTTTTTGGAGTTCCCCCATTCTGTTGGTACTCCAAGATAGTTGGAGTGGTTGTTTGTATCCGAGAAACCCAAGACTTCCCGGATCCTCCCTCTCTCCTCATCCGGAGTATTTGCACTGAAAAACACGGACGACTTCTGGGCGTTAATTTCCTGCCCCGTAATAGCCCCATAGTCTTTAAAAATCCCCAAAATAGTGGACCCTTCTAACGCCGAAGCTTTTCCAAAGATGACCGTATCATCCGCAAACAAGCAGTGTGTGAGCTTTGGACATCTTCTGTTCAACTTCAGACCTTGCAAATCATTCCTGGCCGCAGCTTTATCAATTAGAAAGGTGAGGGCATTCGACATCAGAATGAAAAGGAGAGGGGAAAGGGGATCTCCTTGGTGAATTCCCCTCGAAGGGGAGAACTCCAAGGTGGGTTCTCCATTGAAGAGGATTGAGAAGCTGACGGTTCTGGTGCATTCTCTCACCCGGTTGCACCACTTCTCATCAAAACCATATTTGGTGAGCAGTAGTTCCAGGCAATCCCAGTCAACCAGATCGTACGCTTTTCTCATATCTAGCTTAAGCATCATATCTTTTTTATTGCCCACTTTATGTTTCTTGAAGTGGTTTAGGACTTCATGGACAATAATGATGTTGTCCTGAATCAGTCTCCCGCCTGTAAAAGCAGCCTGTAGCTCTGACACCAACAGAGGCAGCCAAACCTATAATCTGGTTGTCATAATCTTAGTGATGATCTTATACCTGAAATTGCAGCAGCTGATTGGTCTGAATTGAGAGATCGTCTCTGGAGCATCCGTTTTTGGAATCAAGGTAATGAAAGTGTCATTCCAGCCCTTCTCCATCTTCCCTGTGGAAAAGAAAGTCCTCACTTCTTCACAAAGTCCTTCTCCCACAATTCCCCAGTATTTGCG